TGTGCGACTCCTGTGCGAAGCGGTCGACCATCAGCATGTAGAGCGACTTGCCCGCGACCGATCGCGGGAAGCGAGCATGGCGCGTGTCCTCGACGGTCGGCGGCTCGTCGGCCGGTGGGCGCACGCCGAAATGCCAAGCGCGCAAGCGGCTGAAGAAGGAGAACTGGTCGAAGCGGTGCGGCGTCCCGCCACCAAAGACGGCATACGTCGGCGCGAGCAGCGGCAGCGCGAGCGCCACGGAGAGGATGATGAAGAAGAGGGCGGTGCCCGCGGCGACCGTCGTCAGCCGCAGCACGTCGCAGCAGCTCCGCGGCCGCCAGCTGCTGCCGCGGGCGTGGCGCGAGGCGGGTCGGCCGGACGGCCCGGCGAAGCAGCGGAGGACGCGCGGCATCGACGGGTAGGTGAGGAGGCCCTCGACGTGGAGCTGGCTGATGGCGGCGAGCTGGGCAAGGAACTGCACGGTCGCGAGGGGCGTGAGGCCAGCGGTGAGCGCCCTCAGCCGGCCGTCGGCGAGGATGTTGGTGCGCATCAGAAAGTCGTACGGCGAGGCGAAGCCGGCCATCGGCGCCCACGAGGAGATGAGGACGGGCGAGAGGGCCCCGGCGGCGGAGACGACGACGGAGGCGTACGAGGCGTATGTGATGTAGCTCCATCGCGAGGGGAGGCAGCGCAGCTTGAGCATGCCGGTGGCGACGCTCTTGAGCACGGAGAGGGAGATGGCGAGGGCGAGGAGGACTTGGACGCTCGAGCTGCCGATGGCGTCCTTGTCCTCGACGAGCGAGGCCGCGAAGGCCATCGGTGGGTAGATGAGCAGCGAGGCGGTGACGACGAGGAGCATCGCTGGCGCCCACGGCGAGAGCATGACGCCGACGCAGAAGGCGAGGATGAGCGAGGAGGCGAGGAGCGAGAGCAGCAGGTAGAAGGAGGCGGCGTTGTTGGAGGTGAGGGTGAAGAAGGATTGGTAGAGGATGGGCTGCTGCATGAGCCAGCCAAAGTGCATCGTGTCAATGGAGGAGCAGAGCGCGTCGAGGACCTCCGAGAGCACGAGCAAGCTGAAGGAGCTATGATGTAACATACTTGACCCCCCCCCCTTGCGCCTCGTGTTTTTCGTGCCAAACCAGCGCGATCTCGGCGGGGCGTCAGCGCCTCTCGGAGGGGCATCATGCGCTCCCGGGGCCGCCCGACGGCGCTGGCCTCTTGCCGATGGACCCAGCCGAGGTGCCCGACCAGTCGGAGTGGCGCTGACGCGCCGCGCGCGACCACCAGCCAGCTTGCCAGCCGGGCCGAGAACGGTGCCTCGAGAATGTAGACACTCTCCGGTCCATCCGGAATTTTGTCGTTCTAGTTAGCACTGCTGCTGCAGACAGGGCCCGCGTGACCCCTTGCCCTTCCCGGATCCAGCTCGCTGAGGCGTGGCGTCACCCCGCTGACCGCCCACAGGTGGCTGATCGCGGCTCCACTCATCGCTGCTTTCGCGCGCCTGCTCCACAGAGGGCTCCTGCGGCTCTCCCTCGTCGCGTGACCGCCGCCGACATCATGTGCTCGGTCGTCCCCGCCGGCGCGGAGCTGCGCCACGTCGAATTCTTCGGTGGCTCGACCGCCGGCGCGCCCACTATCGCCTCCTGCGCGCCTCACACCCAGTATTCACCTCGCGCGCGACCGCCAAAGTGAGCGCACGACCACCTCCCCCTCGCTCCTGTAGGTGGGCCGCCCCGCGCTGGCGGGAAGAGGCGCGCCGAGCCATCGGTGACGTCCCGGCGAGCTCATGGGCCCCCAAAAGGTCGCACCGACCCGTGGCTCCGCCGTCGGCTCCGCCGCGAGCGGCGACGGTGAGGCCGCCGGGGCTCGCCTATACCGGCTAGTGTGGAGCCCTCAGTGTAGTTGCGTGTTGTACTAGTGATGCTGCACTAGGCGGCCCGTTTTTAGCAAAAACCAGATACCACATCGCGTGTGGTCGTCGAAAAACCGCATGTTCGCCCGTCTGGGACCTCTTCGTACGGCTCCAAAAACCGCTCCTTAACGACGACTACGCGGCCCGGCGGTCGATCTGCGCCTTCTCAGCGGTGGAGGGGATGTGGGAGGTACGTGCGGACCGCGTGGTGTTGCGACGGTTTGACGAGTGCGACTCCCAGCGTCGACTTTTCGACCCCACGGAGCCTCTGCTGCTTCGGGGGGGGGGGTCTGCAGACCACCCGGCCGAACTTCAGAGTCGCGGTGCTCCTCAAATACCGCTCAAACGCCCACGATGTTGTGCAGGGGACATATGCTGATGATCCTGGCCCGATTGGTTCGCTCAGAAAGCTTCTGGGCGGTCGTTAAGGTTCGCTCCCCGCACACCGGCCCGGAAGTATGTTACATCATAGAGCGCGGGCAGCGCGAGTGCGGGCCGGGCGAGGCGGCGGGGTTGAGGCGCGGCAGCCGGAGCGACTGCTTGATGGGGAGCGCGAAGCAGACGATCGAGAGGAGCATCTGGAGGAGGAGGACCGCCTGCAGCGAGCGCGAGGTGAGCCGGCCGAGCGCGGAGGAGCCGCAGCCGTCCGCGGCGGCGTCGGTGCACGAGCGGTCGTGGATCGCGAGGCCCGTCATCGAGAGCGTGATGATGGTTCGCGCGGGCTCGATGATGGCGGCGCGCGACGCGGCGACGGTGACGTGGCCCGCCCACTGGTCGAGGAAGGAGAACCCGATGAGGAGCGGCTCGATCGCCCCCTGGGCGACGCCGCTCATAATCTGGGAGGTGACGATCTCGCCCTGCAGGAAGGAGAAACTCGGATGGTTGGGCCAGTAGCGCGCATGCAACGCAATCTCCAATCCGCTACGCACGACGCACTCTTTCCGCCTCTGGCGCGAGTAGCCCGCCCGGGCCGCGACCTTCTCTGTACACGCACCCGCTCCTGCATGGCCAGGCCACGTGCCCCACCGGCTTACAGGCGAGGGCGGCGCGCGAGGCCGAGGGCCTGAGCCTAGCGCAGCAGCGGCAGCGCGCCTTCTCGTATCGGTGGCGGCGGAGGCGCCTGACGCCGCGGATGCTTAAACGGCGAGGCGGCGGCAGAGCGCCACATCTGTCGCTGATGCTCGTGCGCTGGCTGACGATCCTGGCGTGGTGGAGGGCGTGAGGGCCGCTCGGGGTTCTGCATGGAGCTGCCGCTTCCGGCATGGACGGGTGGGAGAGGTATAGAAGAGAGAGGTTGCTGCAAGGGTCAGGCAGACGCAGGGAAAGGGGAATAGCCCACACGCTAGGGACCCCTTAGGGAGCACGTGTCCTGCCCGCGGCGAAGGTCACGGTGGCGTGTCGGCGTACCGATCAAAGGCGGCGTCGAAGGTCTGTGGCGGGGCGCATGGGACGCGTGGAGGTGGAGGCAAACGGTCCGCGCGGCGGCGACGGCTTGACCTTGAGAGAGTCTCTCTCAAGGTCGCGACGCCCGACGGAGGTGTGCGCGCGACTTAAAAACGTCTTAGTAAGATTTTTTCACACTTCGCTGATTGGGCCGATCGTTTTGATCTCTCGGTCAGTGGGCGCCCGCCCGCCGCCTCTGAGGGGGCTGGGCCCCCTAGTCTGAAAACAAAAACAAACTCGAAAACAGCCAAAATCAGCCTGCGAGAGAGGCACTGCGCCTTCTGCGCGCCGCTGAGGCCTCATGTGGGGATGTGTGCCGACACAAATACTGATCTAAAACCTGGAAATCCTTGTTCAAAGCCGACCCTAAGCGCCATCCTTCCTGCTCCCACCTGATGCTGCTTCCCCGCGCCGCCTCCTTGGCCCCCTTGGGTGTATTTTCTACTCCCAGTGGGGGGCCTGGGCCCCCGGCCCCCCTCTTGTTTTCTGTTTTCTGTTTTTCAAAACGCCCGCCCGCCCGCCACCCCGAGGCGGCTCGGCCCCCCACTGACCGAGAGATTAAAAACGCTCGGCCTTGCTCCCGCCTCCCGGGTGTGGCCGTGCCCCCGTCGATTTGTACGTTTTCGCTTTTGACACCGTGGGCATGCGTTTCTCTGTTTGTGTGTGAGCCTATCACGTATTCGTCGTATCTATTTTTTTCACACAAGCGGTTGTCGGGCTCAAAAGCTGCGTGTGGGCGTGTAACTCATGCAGCTTTTGAGCCCGCCTCTCCACACCCAGACAGACCGAGAGCCCTCGGCATCAAAGTGCACTGAAGCCGCGCCAGGGTGCAGGGAGCGCAGCTCGGGCTCTGTAGGACCGCCCGCCGCCCTCGCCCGCGCACATCACCGCTGTTGACTGGTCTCGCGCGGGGCGAGTGTCAGACGATCTTCTTGACAGGCAGCGGCGTCTCGCGCTTCGCGTTGGCCGCCGCCAGCGCCTCCTCAGAGCCAAACACCGACACGCTCAGCTTGGCCTTGCGCAGCCGCTCTGCAAACGCGCGGAAGGCCTCGGGCGAGCATCCGAGCACCTGGTGAGGTGAGGTAGGGCAAGGTCAAGTAAGGTCAACTTCTCCACACACACACACACACACACACACGCGCGCACGCGCGCGCGAGGTGGTGGGGCAAGGGGGGAGGGTTGCCCTCGCGACTCCACGTCTAGAGACAGGAGCCCGGCGGCATTAACAGTGCAAAGCCCGGTGCACGTGCGTGAGCGGTGCGAGTGCGAGTGTGGGGCGCCTGGTCGCGGACCTCGTTAATTAACTCGTCAATTAAGGCGAATGAGGGCGAATTAAGGCGAATTAAGGCGAACTAAGGGCACCTGGTCGCGGAACTGCTGCCGCATCGCTGTGGTGACGCCGGTGAGGTGCCAGTTGAGCGCGCGCTGCCCCTTTTGGTCGGGCGTGAGCGGCTTGTCGAGGTCACCGACCATGCCGACAATCGCCTGCTCGAGTGCCTCTGCGGAGATGTCCGACTCGCTGAGTGCGTCGGCGGCGGCGGCGTAGATGTCAAGCGTGGCCTGCAAGTTTGGGTCGCGGTACGAAGAGAATGCAAAGCCGCCCGACGTCGGATTGAGCGCGCAACCGCCGCCGTATGCGCCGCCCGCCACACGGACATTGTCCCACAAGTAGCCGAGCGACAGCGCGCGCGAAGCGACCGACGCGGCGCCAAAATCGGCAATCTCGCCTGGCTCGAAGAGGCGGCGCTTCACTCGCCTTAATTCGCCTTAATTAAGGCGATCTTACCTGGCTCGAAGAGGCGGCCCTTAATCAGCCTTAATTAGCCTTAATTAAGGCGATCTCGCCTGGCTCGAAGAGGCGGCAGCCGGCGGCGACGTAGTTCACCTGCGCGTTGCACTTGGTATGTGAACCCCCAGGGGGGGGGGAGGGGGGAGGGGGGGGGGCGAGGGACGCCAGCGCATGTGGCTAGATATAGATATCATGGCGGGGCCCCCTGGAGGCCCGGAAGTCTTGAGGTGGAGTCGGCGGTGGTGCCCGGGGGTCTTGAGGTGGAGTCGGCGGTGGTGCCCGGGGGTCTTGAGGTGGAGTCGGCGGTGGTGCCCGGGGGTCTTGAGGTGGAGTCGGCGGTGGTGCCGCGCGCGGCGCGGGCTCCGCTGTCGGGGGCGTTCAAGCAGTCACCTGCGAGACGATGGCGTAGGCCTCGTCCTCGCGCGGCGCCAGCGGCAGCCTCGACCACTTGGATGCGTCCTCGCCTGTCCGATGCAGAGGAGGGGCTGGGGTGTTTGGGGTGGCGCCGGCGGCGCCGGTGGCGACGGCGGCAGCAGCGGTGGTGGCGGCGAGGGCGGCGGCAGTGACGGGGGCGGAGGAAGCGGAGGGGTGTGGGGCGGGACGGGTGGCAATGGAGGCAGAGACGGTTCATTCCGCAGCGCGTCAACACTTCGCGAATGAAAAAGGGGTCGACCCCCCCCCCCCCTCGGGCTGGTCTCGGGCGCGTCCTCACCGTGCGCGTCCGCGGCTGGCGCGGCGGGCATGCGGCCGACAAAGGCGTCCAGCTGCGGCTTGGCGCCGTCGATGGCGTCGGGGTCGGAGGTGAGGTTGATCATGAGGCCGTCGCGCGCGTTGATGGTCCCGCGGAGCCGCTCCAGCCGCGCGAGGAGGGACGGCCAGTCGTCCTGCGCCGTGGTTAGCATCTCCTTGATCGCCTCGTAGTAGCTGACGCCGCTCGTCAGCTCGGTGGCGTACCCGACCGCAGTGTTGCGCGAGGAGAGCCGCATGCCGGCGAAGGAGTTGCCGCTCGACAGGAAGGCAGCCTCCAGCCGCGACTTTGACTCTTTGAGCAGCTCGACCGCCTTCGGCTGCGCATCGAGGTTGGCGTCCGTTAGCATCGAATGCACCAGCTCGAGCATGTCCGGCAGCCGGTCGCGCACGGCCTTGCCCCGGACCACGAGCTTGTGCACCACGCCGTCCGGCGCACCGACGGCCCCACTGTCGCCGACGGGCTGCTCCAGCTTGGTGCCAACGTCGATGCCTCCAGTGCGCGCTCCGATCCGCCGCTGCAGTGCGGTGGCATCCAGCTCCGAAGTGCCCGCCTGGCCGGTTCGCAAGTCGGACGGGTGTCGGTTCCCACACGGGCAAGGCACACAAGCGCATCCGGACGCAGCAGCGGGGATCTAGCCCCCCCCCCCCCCCCCCTCGCCCTCCCCCCTCCCCCCCTCTCGCGATCGCATCGGCCTCTGCCGAATCTCGCCGTGCTCTCGGCGCGACGCGTGGAGCGGGATTGGCGGCGGGCGGCGGTGGAGGAGGGGGGGCGGGGAGGGCGGCGGCGGCGACGGTGGTGGAGGGCTCGGTGGCGGCGGCGAGGGCGGCCGCGGGCTCGTGAGTCGTCAGTCATGAGGCGGTGGGGGATGGGTCGCGGCGGGAGAGGAAGGGCTGGGTGCGGGGTGGCGCTGCGGGCGCCGCCTGCGTGAGCAGCGCGGCGTAGAGCGAGAGCAGCGGCAGCTCCGAGACGGGCAGCCGCTCCAGGTCGAGCAGCACGTCGGCGTACACCACGCCGGCGCAAGGCAGCGGGTGGGTGAGCAGCGGCACGCCGCCCGAGAGCGCCGACACGTCGGTGGGCACCTCCTTGACCTGACGACGAGTAGGTAGGTAGGTAGGTAGGTAGCACTCGCCCCTCTCTGTATGTGTGGGTTCGTGTGTGCGGGGGCCCTCCTTGTCTCTGCCTAGACAGTGTGTGAGGTGACACCTACCTACCTACCTACCTACTACCTAGTGATGCCCCCTGAGGACGAGTGTGAGCGGTGAATTAAGTAGTGAACCAGGAGGGGGGGGGGGGGGTGCGTGTGGAATCAGATGCGGTGACTCTGCTGAGGCACGCCTTGGCCTCGAGGTCGGCCAAACCCACCCGCGGGATGGTGGCGAGGTCCTCGGCGCTGTCCTCTGCTAGCTGCGCGCGCTTCAGGTCGGCGGTAGAGCGGATCACGTCGGCCAGCTCCTCCTCGCCCATCGCCGCCTTGGCCGCCTCCAGCCGGGACCGCTCCTTGGCCGCCCACTCCTCGGCCAGCGACGCGTCCGGCACCTGCTCACAGCCGGAGGCGTGAAGAGACGCTGTGCACGCTCCTCGGCCAGCGACGCGTCCGGCACCATCTCGATGGTCGCGAGGTGGCCGTTGTCGACGAGCAGTGAAGCGAGCAGCGGCTCGAATACCTGTTGTTCAGCCCGCTGGCGGTGTGAACAGCCACCACTCGTTCATCAGTAGCTACTCACGCACGGCTCGAGCACCTTCTCGCCGCTGGCCAACTTCGTCTTGAGCTCGGCCAGCGGCGCCTCGAAGCGCAGCGCGTCGGCGACGTTCGCGCCCTCATCGTCGCGGTAGATCCTAATTCGTCATTAATGAACGGTTCAGACGCTGTGTATTCACGTTGGCGCCCTCGTCGTCGCGGTAGATCCAGCGCGGCAGCATCGAGAGCATGAAGGCGAGCCCCTTGGGGAAGCCGCCCGTGTTCATCTCGCGCAGCTGGAACTCGAGCGTGTTGACGGCCGCCTAGAAAAAAGAAAGACGCTCGGCCACATGTCTCTCTTTCGCCGGGCGCGCGAGCGGCTTGACGGTCGCCTGGAGAGACAACAGAAGTGCGCTCGGACACATGTCTCTCTCTCTCTAGCCGGATCGCGAGCGGCTTGACGGCGGCCTGTCGAAAAAAGAAATACGCTGGCGCACATGTCTCTCTCTCGCCGGACGCGCGAGCGGCTTGACGGCGGCCTCGACCGCGTCCGCCTCGAAGCCGTCCTTGGCGGCGGCGGCGAGCGTCTCGAGGGCGAGCGCCTCTACCTTTGGATTCGGGTACCGTGGGGAGGTAGGGGACTTGGTCCGGGTACCGTGGGGGCGTGGGATTCACGCGCGGGCGATGGTGTGGCGGTGTCGGGCTATGGCATGGTGTTGGGCTATGAGATGGTGCGGCGGTGTTGGGCTATGAGATGGTGCGGCGGTGTTGGGCTATGAGATGGTGCGGCAGTGTTGGGCTGTGAGATGGCGCGGCGGTGTTGGGCTATGGCATGGTGCGGCAGTGTTGGGCTATGAGATGGTGCGGCGGTGTCGGGCTATGGCATGGTGCGGCAGTGTCGGGCTATGAGATGGTGCGGCAGTGTTGGGCTATGAGATGGTGCGGCAGTGTTGGGCTATGAGATGGCGCGGCGGTGTTGGGCTATGAGATGGTGCGGCAGTGTTGGGCTATGAGATGGTGCGGCGGTGTTGGGCTATGAGATGGCGCGGCGGTGTTGGGCTATGAGATGGCGCGGCGGTGTTGGGCTATGGCATGGTGCGGCAGTGTCGGGCTATGAGATGGTGCGGCGGTGTCGGGCTATGGCATGGTGCGGCAGTGTTGGGCTATGAGATGGTGCGGCGGTGTCGGGCTATGAGATGGTGTGGCGGTGTCGGGCTATGAGATGGTGTGGCGGTGTCGGGCTATGGCATGGTGCGGGGGTGTTGGGCTATGGACGGTGCGGCAGTGTTGGGCTATGAGATGGCGCGGCAGTGTTAGACCTTTGGCACGTCTTCCTTGGCGACCCCCTTGAGGCCGACGGAGAAGGTCGCCTAGGGTAAGGTAAGGGAGGGTAGGGTAAGGGAGGGTAGGGTAAGGTAAGGCAGATCTCCACACACACAAGATGTGGCGGGGAAAGGCGCGAAGCTAGTCCCTCGCGACTCCGACGACAGGAGCCGGCATGGCATTGGAAGTGCAAGGCCTGGTGCGCGTGTGTCCGCAGTGTGTGTGTGCGCCTGCTTGAACTCGTCCGAGAGGCTAAATAATTAAGGCTAATTAAGGCTAATTAAGGCTAATTAAGGCTAATTAAGGCTAATTAATGCGCCTGCTTGAGCTCGTCCGAGACGCCGCCGCCGACCACCGCCGCACCAAGCCCGCTCTCGGCCATCGCCTAATCCAGCCTCAACCCTTCGTCATGATTCCATCATGGGCCGAGCCCGCTCCTCTCGGCCCTCGCCTTGTACAGCGTGGCGGTGCGTGTGCCCATCAGCAGCTCATCGAGCACCTGTTCACAGTTGGAGGTGTGAAGAGACGCTGTTCACAGTGCCCATCAGCAGCTCATCGAGCACCGTCAGCGCGAGCTCGTCGACCTGTTCACGGCTGGAGGTGTGAAGAGACGCCGTTCACAGCGCGAGCGCCGTCAGCGCGAGCTCGTCGACCTGTTCACAGCTGGAGGTGTGAAGAGACGCCGTTCACAGCGCGAGCGCCGTCAGCGCGAGCGCGTCGACCGGCGACAGGGGCTTCTCGTTGAGCAGCCAGTTAAGCATGACCATGTGCGACGGCGCCCCCGGCGCCGCCTCGTCGGCCGAGGCGGGGAAACGCTCGACCACGCGGCGCGGCGTGGCGAACTTCGCCTGCGTCTCGATCCTCGACGCTGCGGGCGTGGCCTAGCTCAAAAAAGAAATACCCGTGCGGATGCGCCATCCTCCATCCCTCCTCCGCGACGCTGCGGGCGTGGCCTAGCTCAAAAAAGAAATACCCGTGGGGATGCGCCATCCTCCATCCCTCCTCCGCGACGCTGCGGGCGTGGCCTAGCTCAGGGGCGGAGTACCGTGGGGATGGGCCATTCTCCATCTTTTCCTCCGCGACGCTGCGGCGGGCGTGGCCGGCGCGGTGAAGGGAGCGAGGTACGAGTCGAGCAGGTCGAGCCGCGCCTCGAGCGGATCGTCGCCTAAGGAAGTGAATTCCGACTCAATTCAGAGTCGAGCAGGTCGAGCCGCGCCTCGAGCGGGTCGTCGCCTAATGAAGCGTTCATTCCCACTTCATTAAAAGTGAACTCGGCCGCGCCGCGCCTCGAGCGGGTCGTCGCCGTAGAAGAAGATGCGCGAGTTGGAGGGGTGGTAGTACCTGTTCACAGCTGGAGGTGTGAAGAGACGCTGTTCACAGAAGATGCGCGAGTTGGAGGGGTGGTAGTACCTGTTCACAGCTGGAGGTGTGAAGAGACGCCGTTCACAGAAGATGCGCGAGTTGGAGGGGTGGTAGTACCTGTTCACAGCTGGAGGTGTGAAGAGACGCTGTTCACAGAAGATGCGCGAGTTGGAGGGGTGGTAGTACCTGTTCACAGCTGGAGGTGTGAAGAGACGCCGTTCACAGAAGATGCGCGAGTTGGAGGGGTGGTAGTACCTGTTCACAGCTGGAGGTGTGAAGAGACGCCGTTCACAGAAGATGCGCGAGTTGGAGGGGTGGTAGTACCTGTTCACAGCTGGAGGTGTGAAGAGACGCCGTTCACAGAAGATGCGCGAGTTGGAGGGGTGGTAGTACCTGTTCACAGCTGGAGGTGTGAAGAGACGCTGTTCACAGAAGATGCGCGAGTTGGAGGGGTGGTGTTACGCGTCGTGGAAGCGCTTGAACTGGTCGAAGGTCAGCTCGACGATCGCGTCGGGGTCGCCTCCTGCGGTGGATAAGGTAAGGTAAGGTCAGGCAAGGTCAGGTGACCTTCTCCACACACACGAGGTGGTGGGGCAAGGGCGAGGCTAGTCCCTCGCGTCTCCACGTCTGACGACAGGAGCCCCACGGCATTACAAGTGCAAGGCCCGGTGCGCGTGGGTGAAGTGTGCGTGTCCTGCGGTGTGAAGACACTAGAGGGCCGTCCTCGCATTCGCATTCCTGGGACCCAGCGCTGGCTTCTGACTGCCGTCGCTGCCTCTCCCTTCTCGACTGCCTGTGCTTATGCGCGTCTTGGGTCCGGGGTTGTGTTTTTGCGTGAAGGCGCCGACCACGAGGGGGGGGGAGGCGCCAGCATGGGGGCGGGAAGGCGCGAGCATGAGGGGGGGAAGAGCGGGGAAGGCGCATTCAGAGCATGAGGGCGGGGGAAGGTCCTCTCGAGCCCGAGAGGTGCGTCCTCTTCACACTAGTACGTGGTCCGCCCCGGGTCTGGGAAGAGCCTAGGAGATGTCTAGGAAGTGTCTAGGAACTGTCTAGGAAGTGTCTAGGAACTGTCTAGTACGTGCCTCCCGCGTGTTCGTAGCCTGGCCCCGTCTGTGCCCCGTCTGTGCCGCGTCCCGTGCGCCCGAGATAAGGGGAGATATGGGGAGATATGGGGAGATATGGGGAGAGATGGGGAGATATGGGGAGATATGGGGAGAGATGGGGAGAGATGGGGAGAGATGGGGAGATATGGGGAGATCTTCCGCTTCTAGGGTCCGCCGCCGGAGTCCTTGGCGTACGTGTTGTCGGGGAAGGTGGCCTGCAGGAAGTATCTAGGAAGTGTGACGGAGGTGTCTCGGAGTCCGTGGCGTGCGTGTTGTCGGGGAAGGTGGCCTGCTGCGCGGCGCGGTAGAGCAGCGAGTCTGGCGACGAGTAGACGCCCTTCATCTCGTTGAAGACCACGCCTAATTAAGAGTTAGCTAAGAGTTAATTAAGAGTTAATTAGACGCCCTTCATCTCGTTGAAAACCACGCATGTGTACGCGAGGACGTATCTCCCCATATCTCCCCATATCTCCCCATATCTCCCCACATCTCCGCATATCTCCCGCGGAAGACGGCGCCTTTGTACGTGAGCGGCTCCTCGGCCCATATCTCCCCATATCTCCCCACATCTCCCCATATCTCCCGCGGAAGACGGCGCCTTTGTACGTGAGCGGCTCCTCGGCCCATATCTCCCCATATCTCCCCACATCTCCCCATATCTCCCGCGGAAGACGGCGCCTTTGTACGTGAGCGGCTCCTCGGCCCATATCTCCCCATATCTCCCCACATCTCCCCACATCTCCCGCGGAAGACGGCGCCTTTGTACGTGAGCGGCTCCTCGGCCGCGTCGAGCTCGTAGTGCCACCCCTCCTGCGCAAAGACGGTGGGGTCGCGCTTGGCGCGCGGCGAGAGCACCGCGTCGAGGTAGACGTTGACCAGGTTGTAAAAGTCCTTTGTGTTGCACGAGGCGACCGGGTAGCATGTGCGGTCGGGGTAGGTGAACGCGTTGAGGAAGGTCTGGAGCGAACCCTTGAGCAGCTCGGTGAAGGGCTCCTTGGAGGTGTACTTTGCGCTGCCGCAGAGGACGGAGTGCTCGAGGATGTGCGGCACCCCCGTCGAGTCCTCCACCGGCGTGCGGAACGCGATGCCAAACACCTTGTTCTCGTCGTCCGCCTGCGCCGAGATGACCTCGGCGCCCGACTGGCGGTGGCGGTAGGTGGCGACCTTGATGGTGTACTCATCCACCATCTCGACGCGGACCAGCTCGAACGCTGGGTGCGTCGCCGGCGCCCGCTCGACCACCTCTGGCAGCGGCGGCTTGGAGATCGCGACCGAAGCGTGCACGCTGCTGGCGCGCCGCGAGATGGCGGCCGGCGCGGAGGCGGAGAAGGCGTGCGGCCGCGAGACGAGGCCGCCCGACGCGCCGGCGATCGCGCCCGCGGCGATGGCCAGCGAGCGAAGGCCGTGGCGCATGGGCGGACCACGCGATGCGCTTTGGCTCCCTTCGCAGAAGCGGCGTGAACGAAGAAGAATTCTTAAGACACAAGCCTCTCGAAGAAGAATTTTACAACGAAACTCCCTCGCACAACACTGGGGGGCGACCTCCTGTTCCTAGCGGAACGGGAGCAGGCCCCTCCTTGCCCGGTCTGCGAAGCAGGGCGGTGGTCGTGCCAACTTCGCTTCACAACGACCACGCCGCAACCGTCGCCGGCGAGCGACACGTTTCCGTTGGCGGGACTGTCCTGGTCGAGAGTGTGTGCCGCCGAGGCGGGACCACTCGGGGACAGTGCTGACGGGACGCGGCTTGGGAGACGACTCCCGCGAAAGCACGGCTGGCATCCGTGGCGTGGGGCTCGCCTCCGAAAAGTCGGGCATGGCTCTCCCCGCAACTCTCTTGCTAACACGCGCGCCCCACCGAAACTGTGGTGGGCGCGCTGCGGCCGCACGTCTACCTCCGTCATAGTGCCACGACGTGCGGCCTAGATTTAGCACACGCGCCTCAGCTCGCAAACACTCACCCATTTGATTGTCACTGTCCGTGAGTGCGAGATTAGGGCTAGCCGCAGGCAGCTAGCCCATGAGGAGGGCGTCCATAGACACCTCACTAGACCCCACATTTTACAGCGGGTTCTCGAGGTGGATATCCTTTGGCGACGGCTAGCGCATCACACTCCTCTCCTTAAAATCCCTGTGTGCACGGTGCGGCTGGAACTTGGTCCGCCTTTCCCACTCATAAGGCCCTTTTCTGCGCTAAAATGTGCGCTCCGCGCCCCTAGCACCGCGCCGTCTCCCCCGCCGTGCCCGCGCCACATGTCACCTCGTACTCCCGCGCGCGGTTTCCCTGGTCCGCCTCCCCCCCGGCCACTCGGCTCTACGCGCCCGGCGGGCTCGGCCTCGCAACTATGTGTGTGCGGTGAGCCGCCCCACCGTCGGGCGCGATCGGCCTTTGCGGCGCACAGGATGGTACTTCCCGATTTATGTGGCGCATACCACCGCCCCCCCAACCCTCAGCACCCTCATGGCAAGCACTACGCCAATTATTCAGTGACAGAAAAATCGGTATCTCACGGAATCCAACCAAAACCGCTGCAGGTCCGGGCGGGGCCGAAAGCGGCCTTTGCTGCCAGAGAGCTACAACGTCAAGAAGGTCATCGCGTGGCGGCAGAGAGCTGGGGGGATCGAGCTTCTGACCGCTTGGGAAGACTACGAGGTCGATGGTTGGACGTGGGAGCCCCTCGACAACATCCCCGAGCGGTTTGTTCGGGCCTTTCACGCGCAGCGCGAACGTCTCCCGCAATCCTTTTTTCTACGTCGTGACCAGGATGCGCGACCGGATCGCCTTCAAGGTGATCGAGAGGACCGGCCCGATGTTTGGGCTTGCTGTCCTGGTCGAGGAGGCCTCCCTGCGCGAGTATGCGCTCGCGCTGCTGCAGTACTTCTCTACTCCTCCGAGCGGCACAAAGGCCAAGATCGCGGTCAAGGAGGACCACTGGCAGCGGGCGCACACACTCACCATCTTCTCGCAGGAGCACGCCGCGTGCATTGCTCGCGCAGGCGGCTCCGACGCGCCTGCCCCCGGCTCCTACAAGTTCACGGTCGAGTTCACCACCGTGGGCATCAACTCGGCGACGGGCGACATCATGCCGTACACCGCGCCGACGGACGAGCTGCGCCTCGAGATGGCAGAGGCGCACGCGCTGGTTGCGTACGCAAAGAAGACGCTCAAGCAGCCGTGGGCGGCGGAGCCTGTCCGGCACAGGCTGCGCGCTAGCGGCTGGTGCGACCAGCCGGTGGCGTTTCAGTAGAATCCGTACATACCGGCACAGTCTAGCGTGTGAGTGTGCCCCCACCCACACTGCACAAACGCGCGCGGCCCGCGCTGGTTCCCGCTGTGCCCTGCACTATGCAGATACAGTACTATGCTTGTCCGGGTACGTACTTTATGCGGGGCATGTGGCTCATTAGAGGGCCTGGTTGGTTTATTGAAGGTAATACTACACAAACCGTCCCTGGGACTGAACAGGAGGCGAGAGGCGCGCGCGCGTGAGCAGCTGCTCGGAGTTGTGTGTTGTGTGTGTGTTCTCGCTCGAGTTCACCAGACAAGCCGAGCGTATCGTGCGAAGATGCTCGCGCAGAACGCTGGAGCACCCAAAACGCGGAGCGCCCACGGCTGCTGTTCCGCAGCGCTTTCCGACGGCATGTTTTGCCTAGAGGCGGGCGGTGTGGTGCAGCTCGCGTGCGGTCGCTGTCACCGCCCTGCCGAGCCAAGCCGTCTGAGGTCGGCAGCGCGAGTTGGCTGGCGTCGCAGAGCGCCTTGCCGGCCGCGCACATCATTTGTGCTCGCACTTGGGGCGAAACAACCCGCTCCCAATACAGTGCCGCGTAGATCTGCGCCCGCCGCTCGATATGGCCCATCCGGGCGCTCCGCCAGCAGGCGGCGACCTGCGGAAGTGAGTGGCCGAGAGATTCCGGTGCTCACCCGCGGCGTGTGCCTACTCACTTAGGCTTCACTCGGCCCAGATCTGGTATGAAAGGACCCGATTGGGGCTTGGCCGGAGCCGGGACGACTGTCAAATAGGCCCGCCATTTGAGGCTGCGATTTTGCCCCTCTCGTTTCCGCACCGTGTGGTGGCGGCGTGCCGTTCTCCCATCCCTCCCTTGGGTTGTCTGTTTTCTAAAAAAAATCCTTTGGCCGCGTTGGGCAAGAAGAATTCTACGAAGCGTGCACGCGCACCGGCCAGGGCTACAATAGTGCCAGTGAGGCGAAGGCGCGAGTCGGAAGGCCGCGACACCGTGATTTGGTCCCTCCATTTACCTACAATCGCTGTGAACCCAGCCACGTAATTTGTATCAGGGGGCGGCTTTAGCCTTTGACCGTCAGTCTTACGGCTCTACGTTACTGCTTACTCGCAGTCGCTCTCTCTCTCTCTTGCGACAGCCGCACCTTCGGCTTCGCAAAATAAAAAACGTCGAGAGCTCATTGATTATGATTTCAACGCTGGGCGGGCGGGGTGTGGAGAAGAGTTTACCTTACCTTACCTTACCTTCTCAGACACTGGAGACAGAGAGGCGGAGAGACACGCTCGACATCTCACGCTCCGATCTCGCACGCTCCGATAATGGGCGAGCACGATCTCCTATCTCATCCTCCGACACGCCCTCCTCTCTCTCAAGCTTCGAGACCCTCTCTTGCGACAGCCGCACCTTCGCAAACATCGAGCTCATTGAAATCAACCCGCTCGGCGCCTGCTCTCCCTGTTGGGTTGGCAGGAAGCACGAGGGCAGCTCGGACAGCGGGGTGTCTGGCTTGCGGCGAAAGGGCGGCTTGCAAAGGCTCCAGTGGAAGGTGTAGTCTAGGCTGTCGCGAGGGCGGCAGCAGAGGACGGCGGCGAGGTGGGCTCGCAAGATGCGGCTGAAGGGGAAGAAGACGAGGGCCATGAAAGGAAAGACCAAGGTGAGGATCCGTCGAAATGCATCCTCCTCTGTCATCAGATCGTCGCCGACACTCACAAGCTCCTCATCATACTCCTCGAGCTTCTCGCGCAAGTCGAGGTACATGCCGCACACCCTCTCGCGATCAGCCCGGCCGATGAAGCGCGTCGACTCGGCCTCGAAAAGCGCCTCCATGTGCTGCACGCTTGGCAGCCGCCCGCGCGTCACCGGAACACAGCCGACGCCGAGCTCGTACGCGTGCCCGCCCCCTTCCGTCATCAGCAGCGCGCACGCCGTCTCAAACGTGCACCATCCCGAGCGGCACTTGGCGCCGGCGTAAGGGATCAGGTCGAGGCGGTCAGCTGGAGGCGCGCCGTCGTAGATCTCATTCAGCTCGCGCTCCAAATGGAGCGGGATCCGCCGGTGCTGCAGCACGAGGACGCGCGGGCTGGCGTAGGCGTTGCTCATCACGCCGAGCCCCTTCTTGAACAGATCAGTCTCCGCGGCGGTACGTTTCGCGCCCGTTATCGGGTCGTGCTGTGGTATCGCGGCAAAGTCCCACATCAGGGCGGGCCGTTCCTCTGCGTGGCGGCCCTCCCGGTAATACGAGAGGACCTGCTCAAGGTGGAAACGGCTGCCGTCTGGCTGGTCGCCGCCGCCCTTGGACGAATTGAACGGGCCCTGCCACTTGTAGGAGAGCGCAGCAACTTTCTCTTCGGCCAGCAGGCGGGCCGCGTCGGCCGGGGCCCAAAACGCCTCTTCCGGCAGGTCCTGCTGCCGCGGTAGCACCCAGTCCGTTGGGCGCTCCAACAGCCAGGCGACGCGCAGCAGCCGGAGGGAGCCGTCGGCGAGGCGCTGGGGTAGGTCGCCCTCGATGGCGGCGATGAGAGCGCGTAGTCTCTTGCGAAGGACAAGGTGGACCAGAGGTGGGAAGATGAAGAGGAGCGGCAAAGTTATGACGACGACAAGAAAATACAGGTCGTAGTCGCAGTGCTCCGGAACAAGCCACGAAAAGCCCAACGGGGAGGCGACGAGGATGGCGGGGATGCCGAGGGCAAGAGTGGGCAGATAGAGCGCGAGGAAGAGCTTTGGCTGCGATGCCGTAGGCACAAGCAAGGCCAAAGCTCCAAAGATGTAGGCCGGCCCAGTGGCAGCCCCGACATGGGTTCTCCACGTCGCCTCCGCTGCATCGCAATCGGCCGGTGGCAGCGGCGGGGGCAGCTCGGGGGGCGGCGGCAGCGGGGCGCGCCCCGGTGGCCACGGCGGCGGTGCGGGCGGTGCGGGCGGTGGCGGGGAGAGAAAGGCCAGTGTCAGATCGTTGTCCGTCCAGGAGCCGTCGCAGTAAACCCGCCAGGTAGCCGTGCCGAGCGGCGGCGAGGAGGAGTCGTCCGAGTCGATGTGGGCCCAGTAGCTACATTTCCCGTCGCCATCGAGGTCGCTCGAGGCGGTAGTGCTCGGCACATCATCATCCACGATCCAGCGGGCGGTAGAGCCTGTGTCATTGCAAGTGGGGTCCCAGTAGATGTAGTACGACGACGAGGTGTCGCGGAAGTACGGCGCTCCCGAGTAGGTGTAGCCGACCGCGACATACTCGACGTTGTCGAGGGCAGAGCTTCGCAGAGCGCAACCTCCGGTGAACATGAGCGGCGGCGGGAGTGGTTGAGGCGGCGAGGGTGGCAGCGATGGCGGTGACGGCGACAATGCACATGCCAGCGGGAGCAGCGCGACGAGAAACAGCCACACGCTGTGCCTCGCCTCCGTCCGGCACCGCACGAGGCGCCCCGAGTTGCTCCTCCGCACCGAGGCCGCACCGAAGCGCGGTGGCCACATCAACTCGCTCATGCGCAGCACGCCGCACACACCGAGCAGGAGGAAGAACCAGGCGGCCCAAAGCTGACCGCGCTGCTGGGCGCGGCTAGGCGCGGACGAGGAGTGTACGTGTACGTTCATGAAGAGAAATCGGAACGGGGAGGGCAGGTCGTTGGAGAGCTCGTCGGCCAGCGGCTTGTCGGTCTTGTAGAGCTCGTCGGTGAGCGCGTGGTGAATCTCCACCACCGGCGGGTAGGACGCAGAGGAAGAGACGGTGAAAGTCCCATCGGTCCAGCCTGGCGCTGACCACCTCGTTCCGGTCCACCCATGTACCATTTCGAAGGTGCAGGTGCCCGGCGGCACCGCGTGCATATCCTCGTGGGGAGCCCCGCCCGTGGTGTTGTCGGCGAGGCCGTCGCAGGCGAGCGACCAGGGGACGTCCTCTGGGTAGTATCCGCCGCTCACTTTGACCACCATTGGCGATGGAGGCAGCAGCGGCGGTGGCAGTGGTGGAAAGGGCGGCCGCGATGACGGTGGCGACGGCGAGGACGATGGCGGCGACGGCAGCGAGAGCGGCGAGAGCGGCTGCGGCGAGTGCTGCGGCTCCGGCAGTGGCAGTGGAGCCACGGTTGTGATGCCGATGATCGGCATGACGAAGAGCGTGGATGAGCCGCCCGTGCTGAGCACCGCGAGGAACGCGAAGGAGATGCTGAGCAGGTGGAGGCGACCGGTGATGACGGCCGTGGAAAGTTCAGATTTCTGCATTGATGCGGGCTGCTTTGAGGCAGGGAGGGGCAGGCGGAGGGCGGCTCGTGTAAGGGACGAGACAGCGTCTCCCACCTGGGCAGGACTTAACGTGACACGATTGTGGGTGTGTCCTGCTTTTTCATTTTCGCGTCCCCCTCTGGCCCTCTTGCACTCGACGAGCCTTTTCTCTTTTCTGTTGTTAAATTTTTTCTTTTGAGCTAGACTTCGGGAGCGGTCGGTTTCCTCCTCCCGAACACGAGTTGGAATGAGGCCGACACGCCACGCGTCGTCGAGTGCCTCGCGACACGTAGCCCTCGCTCGCCAGCGACGCGCCCCTATCGCCGATTGCGTCGCCCCCGATGAGTACTGTATAGGCCCACCCTGCTTTCCCTAGGTCTTCCGACCCGTCTGTGTATGCCACCCAGTCGGGCGGGCGTCGTTGCGCCTGCTCTGCCAGTTGCTGCTGTGGGCGAAGAACGACCCCTGGTGCCTCGACCGGCTTTTGGCTTGGGCCGGTCAGAATACACCACTGGTAGGTGCTGGGTACCCTCACAGCCCCTCGCTAGGCTCAGGGGGCGCCGCGAGGCGGCCGAGACGCAATTCGCTAGGTAGGTAGGTAGGTAGGTAGGTAGGTAGAAAGGTGAAGAACAGCCAGGCTCGGACTGGACACCAACGCGGTATGGGTGGACGCAAGACAGATGATGACGACACGAACGAGCGACACACAGACACAAACAAGCTCACAAGACACACAGCCAGCTGGCTGCCACACACCCTGAGTTGGCTGCATATAGTCAGACGGAGAAAGAAAAGCGTGCCAACGACCGAAAACCTTCCGCGCGCCGTGACAATCCATCCTCTTGCGCAAAGTACATGTCGCACGCGGTGGGCGTGGCCGCGGCCGCCGCCACCGCTGCCGTGCTTGGCATCGTCTCGCAGGAGCTGCGCACGGCCAAGGTAGCAGGCAGCAGCATGGCACCCACGTTCCAGACCGGCTCCTCCATCCTGATCGAGCGTGTGTCGCTATTCCTCGGTGCAGTCTGCCACGCAGCTCTGCCCCTCATCGAGCACCGGGCGCCGCATGGGCCACCTAGTGATGGGCTCGCGCGCCACGCTCGCACCGCCTTCACCGCCGCCTTCACCGCCACCACCGCTGCCCCCCTCACCCGCGCTACCACCGCTGCCCCCCTCACCCGCGCTCGCCGCCGCGACAGGGCGCCTCGCCCGCGGCGACGTGGTCGTGCTGCGCTCGCCCGAGGTGGAGCGAGACGAGCCGAGCGAGGCGGCGAAGCCGTGCTCGCTCCGGACCCGTCCCTGAGCCTCCCTGTAGGTCGACCGAGACTGGCTGACAAAGCGCGTGGTCGGCGTCGGCGGCGACTGGCTGTATGCGAGGGACGGCCGGCTGGTGAGGGTGCCGACGGAGCACGTCTGGGTGGAGGTATCGAGGGACACGTCCGAGACACCCCCCCCTCCCCCCCCTCCTTCCCTGCGGCGCTTTCGAGGCCCTTCCGAGACACTCCCTGAGGCGCTGCCGAGGCGCTGCTACGGCCGGCTGCTTCTCTTGGCCCGCCACACCGTTGAACACCAAAAATGGCAGAGGCCAGCGCGTCAAGCTTGCGACTTCCGTCCCTCTTATGTACCTCATTTGATCGTGTTCTTTTGCCCCTTCTGCAGGGCGACAACGCCTCCAACTCGAACGACAGCACGCACTACGGCGCCGTGCCGCGCGGCACGCTGGCGGGTACGGTGGTGGCCAAGGTGGCACGCCCACCACACGCCCATCACACGCACACCACTCGCCCATCACACGCCCATCACACGCACACCACTCGCCCATCACACGTCCACCACACGCACACCACCACACGGCCACCACACGCACAACATTCGCCCATCACACGCACACCGCAGCCCATCACGCATAGACACAACGCCGGCCCAAGTGCCAAGACGCACAAGCACAGGCAGTCGAGAAGGGAGAGAGACAGCGACGACAGTCAGAAGTCAGCGCTGGGTCCCAGGAAGGCGAATGCGATGACGGCCATCACACGCCCATCACACGCCCATCACACGCACACGCACACGCACACGCACACGCACACGCACACGCACACGCACACGCACACGCACACGCACACGCACACGCACACGCACACGCACACGCACACGCACACGCACACGCACACGCACACGCACACGCACACGCACACGCACACGCACACGCACCTCACTTGCCCATCACGCACACGCACACGCACACGCACACGCACACGCACACGCACACGCACACGCACACGCACACGCACACGCACACGCACCTCACTTGCCCATCACACGCCCCTCACCCCGGCGCAGGTTTGGCCGCCGGAAGAGGCGGGGCCTGTCGCGACGCGCCACGCCGCCTGCGAGGTGGGCCGCCATCTCATCACCGAGATTACCCGAGATTACCCGAGATTGCCAGAGATTACCCTATATCTCCCCACACCTCCCCAACATCACCACAAGCTGCCTCTTCATCTCCCCACCGCCCCCCACATCTCCCCAACCCCTCCCCAACCCCTCCCCAGCACCTCCCCAGCACCTCCCCAGATCTCACATCTCCCCCGTATCTCCCAGGCGAGGGTCATCCCCGCCGCCGAAGCGTCTCGCCTCCGCAGCCTCCCCACGGAGGCCGGCGAGACCCTGCGTGCAGCGCTGCACCGAGCCCGCAGCGCGATGCATCCGCGCGCTGCGAGCTCGAGACGGCGTGTCCCGGACACGTCCACGACACGTCCGCGACGCGCGCCCGTAGGCATGAGTACTCCGAGCGATGATGGCGCGCGGATGTGTCGCCGCGATGTCGGCGCCGGTGCCGGTGCCGGTGTTGTGGGTGGGTGGGTGGGTGGGTGGTGGTGGTGGTGGTGTGGGTGGGTGGGTGGGTGGATGGTGTTGGAGGGGGGGGGGGGGGCTTTGGGGCGTGAGGAAGGCGGGCGAGTGTGTTGCTCGATGGTGTTCTGAGATGAGATTTGTAGAGGAGGGTGCTGTGGCTGCTGAGGTCAATAGGCGAAGGCAAGTTTTTTTTGAGAGCGCCTTCGTTGTTAATAGTACAAACCCAATGGTTCTCTGCGAGCGGTCCTCCGTTGCAGTCACGCACACGCACACGCCATGCCGCACCGCGCGCCCGCCCTCCGCCCCGCCCAGGCGGGAAAGAGACGAGGAGATGGGACAGCGAAGGAGGAGTACGAGCACGTATGGGAGGGTTCAGTAATGCGCCACGCTGCCCGGCGTCTCTCACTTTCCGGGACAGCCCCGCCCTTTTGAGGCGGGAGAGTGACGGCTACCCCGTACGCGCCTGTTGCTCTACCCCGACGCCGACCGCCCATTCTCCCCTCCTCGTTCCCCCCTCGAATGCTCCGGACCCCGACAAGCCGCCCGACGTTGGGCCTCCGCCCCGCACGCTCCCGCCCCTCTGCCCCTCACACACACCCAGGCCCGACACGCACATACAAGACAAACCCGGCGTCCTGCTCTCAAAAGAAAAAGAAAAAAGGGAATGAGGAGACCAGCGGGGGAGACTCCCCGCCTATGCAACACCCCAGAGAGGGGCTGCCATCGCCGAAGCTGTGCCAAAGCATAACTCCAAAACCCGCAGCGGCCCAGGGGGCCTTGGGGGCAGCCTGCCGGACCGCCGCTGCACGGGGCTAGGCACCAGAAGATGAGTGGAATTGATGAATTGGGCCGTTGTCCGTGCCTCCCCTCTATACGTCAGAGTGGGACCTACGCCGCGCCGGGTAAGGGGCGCGCCCGGTCCTCGACGGAGCCGCGCGCCCCAAACGACCCAGGCGGCGAGTAGTCGTCCTCGAACCTTCGACTCGTAGTCGCCCGTGGTCAGCGCCCCTCCTCCCTCGCCCGTCCCTACTCATACTGCTCTCGAGGCGCCCGCGGCATCTCGCCGCCCATCTTCGGCCACGCGTTGTAGTCGAAGATGGCGGCGTTGCGCCTCGCGACGATGGCCGAGTGCACTTGCAGGAAGCGCTTGCGCTCGCTACTGACCCGCCATCGTTCGCTGTCGGAGGACGCCTTAGCGGCCTTGATGTCGAAGTTGGTGTTGAACCACGTCGCCGCCTCGTGCCCGATGCCGCCACGCGTGCTCGCCGCCCATGTCATAAAGTCGCAGTTTTTGGCGTCGCACGCCGCTGCCTGGGCCTTCCGCTTCGTCGCCTCGGCGTAGTCGGTGGCTAGGCGCTTGCCGCTCGCCAGCGGGCGCAGCCTGTCATGGTGCACCGCGGTGACGCACGTGCCGTCGTACACCACGGCGCGTGCCGACTCTGCATAGTTGCCGAAGACGCCGTCGCCCCTCTGGTACGGGTTGGTGTCCGGATCGTGCGCCCGCGTCGGGTCCCTGCAGCCGAGCCTCACCTCCATGACCTTTGCCGAGGCGCCGAAGGCGCGGGCGACGTTCGTGACGTGGGTGTTGAGGGATGTGTGCCCCGTGGCCAGCCAGCCGCCGTAGTTGCACCCGTCCCAGTGCGTACCGTTGGGCAGTGGCGAAGGCCGCGGCGGGGGCGGGTGCGGCGGAGGGGGGGGGGGGCGGGGTGGGGGGGAGGGGGAAGAGAGGGGTGAGAAGAGGCCGAAAGAAGAAAGGGGGACACAACCCGTTCGGGAATCGTGTGTCCCCCGAGTAGTTAGGCCTGTGTCCTACCCAAAGCATGAAAGAGTTTGGGACAACTGTGCACGGCGGCTGATGGCAAGCGCCGCCTTTGACCACGCAGAGCCGCCGCCTTTGACAACGAAGCCCGCCAATGCAGTCGCTCGTCGTCGAGTTCTCGCGGCGCGTGCGCGAGCCAGCACAAAATATGAGGGCGTGGGCAGGGGCCAGCCGCGCCACGCGCGGCCACGTGCACCTCCCAAGCCAACCGCCGCCCCCGCAGCACGACGGCGAGGCGAGCCTCGCAAACGACGCCGAGGGGGCAAAGGTGGCTCTCGCCGGGTGTGCCTCAGCGGCCGCGGGCGAGCAGGGCATGTGCGCGCCACGCGCCGCCGCTCCAGCCGGATCGTACGAGCCTCCCTCCCGCGGCTCGTTGCAGGAGAGCGGGTCGATCCGATGATGCTCGGTGAAGATGCTCGGTCTGCTCTCGCCAAATGTTTGTCCGACTCGACGTACGGCCCCGGGCGTCGGGCCGTGGCGGCGACGGCAGGCGTGCTCCAGCGCCGCCTCGTGCGCACGCACGCGCAGCGGCGGCGCCTCTGCACCACCCGAGTCGCCGCCCGGCCGAGCGAGGAGCAGAGAGACGACGAGTGACATGCTGATTCGGCAACTGTTTTCTTTTTTATGATGGTGGCCGCTCGGTTCCGGCTCAGCACTGTCCCGTCGCCGCACTGCTCACAGCGCTCAGGGCCGCCGCTGGCGCAGCTGCGCACGGACACGCCGCCGCTGCTCGCGCCGCTGCCGCCTCTCCAGCCTGCGTGCCGCCGGCCAAAGCCGAGCCGCCACACAGGCCTCCGCACCGCCGTGCAGCGCGGGATCGCGATCGCAAAGGCGGCGACGCACGCGGCGGCGGTGCTCCTCGTCGCGCTCCTCGTCGCGCTGCCGCTGCCCACCTCTCCCGCCCTCGCCGCCGCCGCCAACGCTGCGCCGCCGCAGCAGCAGCCGGCCGCCACCGTCTCGCACGGCCGCCTCTTCCGGTACTACGGCCGCGCGTCGGCCGCGCAGGCCTCCTCCTCCGCCGCTGCCAGCGCTGACGCCGCCGCCGGCGAGGCTCCGTCCACCGTCGAGACGGGATTGCCGTCAGTCAACCTGCGGCGACGCTGGCTAGATGCGGAGAGTGAGCGACAGTCGGGACAAAGTCCACCACCTTGAGGGAGAAGAGTCAACGGCTCGTGGTCGGGGGGAGAGGAGATGTCCGGACGCGCGCGCACGCGCGCCCTTTTTCGCCCATCTCACACACACACACGCACGCACACACGCACGCACACACGCACGCACGCATTCGCACACACGCGCCGCAGGTTGACTGACGGCACTCCTCCCGACGGTACCTGCCTTTGCGCCGCAGGCTGCCCGGCCTCGAGCCCCCGACGCCGGTGGGGGGCGCGCGGCGAAAGACGTCGTTTGTGACTGCGGCGGTGCAGGCCGTCGGTCCTTCGGTCGTCCGCATCGACACGGCGCTCCCTCTTTTGTCTCCCTCCGTCCCTCCGTCCCTCCCTCCCTCCCTCCCTCCCTCCCTCTCTCCCTCTCTCCGGGCCAGCTCGAGAAGCTAAGGCGGTGGGCGCCGCCTCCTCACGCCAACATGCTGCGACCAGGAGCGGCTGGTGGACCGGCCCGCGCTCGAGGGGTACCTTTTCCCCGACCGCGGCGGCGAGGGCGACGGGCAGCGGCGCGAGTCCGGGCAGGGCTCCGGCGTCATCCTGTCGGAAGATGGGCTCATCATGACCAATGCGAACAAATGCAGCAGTTGCACGGGCCCAGAAGCAAACGCAAGACCCCTCCACATTTGGATCAGGCCCACGTGGTGAAGAATGCGGCCAAGGTGACGGTCACACTCATCGACGGGCGCACATTCGACGGCCTGGTGAGGGGCACCGACGAGTTCATGGACTTGGCCGCCATCCGCATCAAGCCGTCCGGGAAGCCGCTGCCGACCGCCCCGCTCGGGCGCTCGGACGAGCTGCAGGTCTTCGTCCAAGTTGCACTCCGCTTCCAACTCACCCAGTCACCCCTCCGTTCTTTGGTTCCGATCGCCCACCAGTTGAGTCATGCATCGTCACCAGAATGGCAGCTGAGTGGCCTGCCACCTCCAGGTCGGCGATTGGGCGATCGCCATCGGCAACGCCGTCGGGCTCGACTCGACGGTCACGCTCGGCATCATCTCGTCGCTGTCTCGCTCCGCCGCCGAGGTTGGCATCCCAAACAAGAAGGTCAACTTCATACAGACCGACGCAGCGATCAACCCGGGCAGCGTTGGCGGCCCGCTGCCCGCGCCTTCCTGCCCCCTCTTCACTGGCGCAAGGGTGTGAACAGGCAACTCTGGCGGCCCGCTGCTCAACGAGTTTGGTGAGGTGGTCGGCATCAACACCGCGATCCGCGCCAACGCCGCCGGCATCGGTTTTGCCATCCCCATCGACACCGCCGAGAAGGCGACGGGGACGGATCTCGGCCGATCTCGGGAAGGGCGGCGGATCTCGGCGGATCTCGGCGGATCTCGGCGGATCTCGGGCTGTCAGGCGATGAAGACGCTCTCGGCGGGCGGGAAGATCTCGCACGCGTACCTCGGCATCTCGATGCTGTCTCTGACGCCCGAGGCGGCACGGCTCAACAACGCCGACCCAAACTCGAACGTGTACCTGCCCGAGCAGCACGGCGCCGACCCCGTCCTCCTCCGCGCTCTGGGGCCCTTCTAGCATCCTCCGAGGGAGCGTCCCTGACCACACCGTCAGGCGCCCTCGTCCTCGCCGTCGGGCCAGACACACCCGCCGCGAAGGCGGGATTCCGAAAGTTCGACCTCATCGTCGAGCTCGCCGGCGAGATACAGCCGAGATACAGCCGAGATACAGCCGAGATACAGCCGAGATACAGCTCGCAGGCAAGGGATGGCCGAGATACAGCCGAGAGATCGGCGAGCGATCGCCGAGGCGTGGGCAAGCTCGACCCCCCCCCCTCGCAGGCACGCCCATCTCGTCGGCCGCGGACGCCCAGCGGCTCGTCGACGAGACGAGGGTGGGGCAGCCGCTGCAGGCGCGTCACGACGGAGTGGATGGATTCGCCTGTGATGGGGAAGACCGCGCACTGGAGACGGCTCCCTGACCGCACCTCTCCTCTCGCCTCGTCACAGGTCAAGGTGCTGCGGCAGCAGAAGCAGATCAGCCTCTCCGTGGTGACGGGCGACCTCTCGACGCGCCCGGAGCGAAGGTGAGTACAGTGGCCAGGGAGGGGGCGCACGGCGAGCGCGGCATGTTCATGGATGCGGTGCGGGCGGGGAGGCGGGCGCACTCCGCACATAGTGTCACATAGAGTGTCTCGCGCTCTGGGGGCTGGTTACGGATCTGACAGACTGGGAAAAGAGCCTCGGATCGTGGAGACGCCGGTTGAAGTTTTCCCCTCTTTTCCTGTACAATATGTCCATTACCACGCCAGGGGTTCTCTTTCCCTCGCGAGGAATACAAATCTCACGCGAAGGGAAAGCACGGGCTGAGATTTTCTTTTTCTCGCGATGTCCAAACCGTCGCGGCGCCGCTCGCGCCGCCTCGCCTCCGCCGCCACCGCCGCTCCCTCGCCAGACGCGCCGCCGCCCACCCGCCTGCTCGACCTTCCCAGGGAGCTCCTCGAACGCGTCCTCTCCCGCTTCGACAGCCCCGTCGACATTGCTCGCGTCGCGGCCGTCTCGCTGCTCTTCCACGCCTCGCTTGCGCTGGAGGGCATCCGCTTGTGGGCGCAAGAGCGCGGCTTCGAGCTGCCGGCGCAGCCAGAAGGCGAGGGCTGTGCCGTGCGGTGGTTGTGCTATTCGGCGCTGCTGCGCGAGGCCAACCCGCCGGCGAGGGCTGCGGCAGGCTCCTTCCACAGCCTCTTCATCGACGGCGAGGGGCGGCTCTCGTCGTGCGGCAATGAGGCGGAGGGTGAGGAGGAGGACGAGGACGACGAGGAGGAATTCGCAGGGCTCCTCGGCCACGGTGAGGGCGTGACGCGGCTCAACACGCCGACCCGCCTCCCGTCAACGCTGGGCGGCGAGCGCGCCGTGAGCGTGTCGGCTGGAGTTGGCCACAGCCTCGCCCTCACCGCCGACGGAGCCGTCTGGAGCTGGGGCGGTGGATACTTCGGCCAGTTGGGCCACGGCGACGAGGAGGACCAGCTGCTGCCAACGAAGATCGAGGCCTTGGCTGCCCGGCGCGTCGTCGCTGTGTCGGCTGGAGCATACCACAGCATCGCCCTCACCGCCGACGGCGCCGCCTGGAGCTGGGGCTGGGGAGACTTAGGCAAGCTGGGCCACGGCAACCAGCAGCACCAGCTGCTGCCGAAGAAGATCGAGGCCTTGGCTGGGCGGCGCGTGATCGCTGTGTCGGCTGGATCCGAGCACAGCCTCGCTTTCACCACCGACGGCGCCGTCTGGAGCTGGGGCAATGGAGGCTCAGGCCGGTTGGGCCACGGCGACGAGCAGCGCCAGCCGCTGCCCAAGAAGGTTGAGGCCTTTGCTGGGCGGCGCGTTGTCGCTGTCTCGGCTGGAGGCTACCACAGCCTCGTCCTCACCGCCGACGGCGCCGCTTGGAGCTGGGGCCATGGAGCCTTTGGCCAGCTGGGCCACGGCGACTATCAGCGGCAGCTGCTGCCGAAGAAGGTCGAGGCCTTTGCTGGGCGGCCCGTCGTCGCTGTCTCGGCTGGAGGCTACCACAGCTTCGTCCTCACCGCCGACGGCGCCGCTTGGAGCTGGGGCGGTGGACCCTTTGGCAGGTTGGGCCACGGCGACGAGGAGCACCAGCTGCTGCCCAAGAAGGTCGAGGCCTTTGCTGGCCAGCGCGTCGTCGCTGTGTCAACTGGAGCATTCCACAGCCTCGCCACCACGGCCGACGGCGCTGTTTATGCTTGGGGCCTGGGCAAAAGCAGCCGCCTTGGCCACGGAGAGGACCTGTCGAACCAGCTGCTGCCCATGAAGATCGAGGTGTGGTCGCGGGAGTGAGAAGCGGGGACCATCCGGGAACCGGGACCGGGGTGTGCGTGCGAGGGAAGGGCTGAACAGAATGATGTCATCATGTTTGGTCGTGCGTGTCGTGCGCGGAGGCCGGAGCGCGGCGTGGTCCCCGACCGACATCTATGTTTTTGCTATTTGGTATTTCTGTTTGAGTGTGTACTGTGTATCGCTTGAGTGTCGTTTCCGATCGCGACATCCGATCGTGGCACGTGGGTGTGCGGCCGGGTGCGCCCGGACGCCGGACGCTCCACGACGCACGAGACGTCTCCGAATACTCCAAAGACCCGGAGAGGTGACTTGTTATAGATTATACATCTCGGGCTTGGAAAACGAACTCAGATTCGCAGACTCCGGCCGCGGACACAGCTCGAACACGGTAAACAGAGCTCAGTGGCCCGCATGTACTCTCCATGCGCCCTCAGGCAAACGCGGTCGGCCTCGCGGGCGGTCGCTGCGGCGGCTGCAGCATCGCGCCCACCCCGGGCGGCATCGACGCGCCGGACGGCGCGCAATTTGACGGCAGCGACATTGACGGCGGGTAGTTGAATCGCGCGTCGCCTATGGGGAGATTGTGGGGAGATATGAGCAGATATGAGCTCGACGTCCGGCTGGTGCGAGAGATGGGGAGATATGGCGAGATATGGGGAGACACGGTGCAAGAGATGTACCAGGAGATATGGCGAGATATGGCGAGATATGGGGAGATGTGGGAGATTTGCGTCGCCGTTGGAGGCGAGCTGCGGCGAGTGGTGGAAGGGCGAGGGCGGCGTGACGGAACCCTCGACAACCTACGAGGGGAGATCTGGGGAGATCTGGGGAGATCTGGGAACCCTCGACAGCCACAGAGTCAATCCCCCCAACGAGTCTATCCAAGACAGCGAATGCCGCGGAACGCGGTTGAATACGGCGGGACGCGTGTCCTCTCGAGCGCTGGTTTGGATACAAGAACACGTATTCCAGCTCCTAGGCTCGACAACCGTGCCCGCCGGTGCCAGCGTGTTGGCGCCGCGCGCGCGCGGTCCCGCCGGAGACACCAGCTGCCTGGAAAAAAGAAAAGCAGCCGCTCCGAACAGAGGCAGTGTGTGGCGACCGAAAGGGAGGGGGGGGGCAGAGAGAGGGGAGTGCGGGGAGTGCGGGGAGAGATGGAAAGAGGAGAAGGGCGAGGAAGAGTGTGGGTTTGGGGTGCGCCTGCTCGTCTGGGCGTCGAGGTCGATCGGCGTGTCGAGGGAGACGTTGACGACGGTTCTCTCAATCTTGAGCCGCAGCCCTGTGTCGTACGGGTTGGCCTAGCGAGACACCACCGAGAGATCGCCGAGATTTCGCCAAGATGGCTGAGACATAGCAGGGGCTGTTTGCCTCGCGCGACCCCTCCCGGTAGATCTCGGCGGTCTCCCGGCTGTCTCTCGGCGGTCTCTCGGCCGTCTCTCGGCGATCTCTTGGCGGTCTCTCGGCAATCTCTCGGCGGTCTCTCGACGGTCTCTCGGCGGTCTCTCGGCGGTCTCTCGGCTTCGTCTTGCCTGCCGCGACCCCTCCTGGTAGATGTGCTGCGGGAGCCCCTTTCCTCGCAGCACCTTCACCTCGCCCGGGTTGACCTGCGGCGAGGGGAGCGGGCGGCGTCGTGTGCGCGCCTCCCCCCTCCTCCCCGCAAACCTTGTCGGCAGCGAGGCCCTTTCGGCGGGCGAGGCCGACGGGCAGAGGCGCCGGAGGCGGCGCAGAGGGCACTCTTGCGGGTACGTGGCGGTATGGGGCGGAAGAGCGGGGCGGAGGTGCGCGCGCGCGCGCCCACAGCAGAAAGTACGGCTCGCCGCGCTGCATCGCGCTGCCGAACGCCGCGTCGCGCACGCCAGCCGCATCTGCTGCGCGCTGAAGCAGCGCGTCGATCAGCGGCGGGCCCCAGGTGATGGAGCGGTACGCGCAGCCGCGGTGCGGCTCGTCGACGTACCAGTGCCCCTCGTACCGCGCGAAGAGCACCGCCTACGCGCGCGCCGCGGCAGGGGAGCGGCGGTCGGCGGCGCGCAGAGGAGCAGCGTCTGCGTGTCTGGCGCGCGCGCGCGGCCTGCAGCTGCTCGTTGAAGGCTTGCTTGAGATCCGCCTCGTCCGCGCCGGGGATGAACGTGGACGCGATCCAGTCCGCGGCCGCCTCGACTTCCAGTCTCATCAGGAGCAGTCTTGCAGCAGCAGCCGACGAGCGGCTCACTCTCTGAACCGCAACCCACCCCTCCCCCCGGGATCACCCCCCAAAGCGACCGCCTGGGTATTTTGTCCTTTTTTTGCCTCTCAGATTTTGCCCCAGACCAGCTTTCAGACTCAGGGAAACTCGCGAGTTTCCAGAATGGAGCTAAGGTATCCTCGCCTGCCGCCCCCCGCCCCCCCCCCCCCCAAAGTGACCCGTTTTTACCCACCAACGCCCGTGCGCGCGTATCCTGGTTTTTTTGCCGTGCATCCCTGTGACCTGTATCCTTAGTCGTTGTTACAGTCGATTACAGAGGGGGACCATCCGCGTGTTATCAAAGCGAGAAGACGCACACACTGCGGAAATTCGCACTCACCCCCCACTGTCGCCAGACTGTGAGAGGCTATAGGGGAGGAGGGTGGGAGACCATAGCTCCCGCGTTCCCGTCGGGCTCCAAAGCAGGCATAGCACAAGCCGCCGCCAGGCGCGCTTGCGAAACACCGACGGCAAACGTAAATTCGTAGGCGCCCGACGGAATTAATCCCGATTAGGCGCCCGCGACACACTGAATACCCCGGGCGGGCCTCCGCTCCGGGGCTGCTCTATCTCCATTGTCTGCACGCAACCATGGTTATGCCCTTCACACCCCAAGCCCTCGTGTCACCGTTGTCCAACACCTTTTGGGTGTCACACTGCAGTAACATGCGAGGGGCTGAGCTGTAAAGGTTTGGACCATCCGCGTGTTATCAAAGCGAGAAGACGCACACACTGCGGAAATTCGCACTCACCAAGCTGCAGAGGAAGACGCCCAAGCTGAAAGCAAGTCCCAACGTTGCACGCAAACTTGGGACGCCCCTCGAACCTCGGTGACACGAAGAACCACTATTCCATCGCATTGATGGCAAAGTCCGAGACCTCCTTGAGGCCCGGCATGGAGTCGGAGTCGGAGGCGCCTGCCTCGCCGTCGTCGTCATAAGAGAGGTAGTCGGGGAGAGCGTCGCCGTCCGCCTCGGCGCGCGACGACTCATCCCACTCGCGCCACGCATCGGCCCGGCTGAGCGCGGAGCGGCCGTCTGGCCCCACGTAGCCGCCCCCCTGGGAGAGGCGCCAGCCGTCGGGGAGGAGGTTGGCCTCGCTGGCGGCCTCGGCCTCCGCGATGGACGTGTGGACGTCGCCAGCCTCGTCGCCCCCCTCAGGCACCACGTTCGCTGGGCCCTCGACCCGCCCGTCGACCGCCGCGACCGCGCCGCTTGCTGTGGCAGCGGCCGAGCCACCACCCTGCAGCGCCTCGCGTGTAAGCCGCACCGCAGGCGGGCCGCGCTCGGCAGGGGCGGAGGCGCTGCGCGCCGCGGGCTGGGCGCCCTCGGCGGCGCCGCCCCCTTCGGCCCGAAGGACGCCGCTCACCGCGGCTGGGATCTGAGCAACGAGACCCATCGGGAAACGCGAGTAGCGCTTGTGGGCATCGCTCTTCCATAAGCCACATGCGCCACCGTCACGTCCTCGCCCAACACCCGCTTCGAGTTGTTGTAGCCCTCGACCCGCAGGCCGTGGAGCCCGCCCTCCTCGCCCGCCGCGACACCGACAGCGCGTTGAGCCGCCTTGAACTGGTCCATGGCGGGCGCGTAGCGGAGGGGGCGTCGGCGGCCATCCACCGTCTCGAGGAAGAAAGGCTCGTCTGGGTCGCGACGGGCGTTGAGGACGGCGATGTGGAACCCCATGAGGCGCACGAACCACGCAATGATGCTGTACCTCGAGTCAGCCACATCGCCAACAAAGGCCCAGTCGCCGTCGCCCCTCGCCTCTGGGCGCTCCACACGCTGGTCCTGCTTGATCTTCTTGAAACGGACCCACAATCCCCGCACCGTGTTGCCGCTTTCGTCCTGGACCTGTCCGATGTCGACGTCGCTGACCGTCATATGTTCGGTCTTGTCAAACCTCTCACGCCCCTCAAAGGTCTTGCAGAGGCCAGACTCGGAGCGAGAAAAGGTGTACACGAGCAGGAGGATGAGGAAAACGAGCTGGACGGATGCGAAGTTCCTCACGTCAGTCGCCCTGATAATGGCGGCGACGATGGCGAAGGGGACGGCCTTCCGAGGCTCGCCAGGGACCCACGTCAGGACCTTGACCCCGGCCATGAACATGGTCCAATCGACGACGCCAAGACGTGGATCTGCCTGGTGCATCATCTGCTGCCACGTGCAGATGCCCCACGCGTAGCCCTCGATCGAGCCGAAGACAAGCTTCGTGTCCACGACCATCGACATTACGCATGCGGCAAGCTTTCCGCCCCTCTCGGGGTCGTCTGTGTAGATGATGACCGACCAGCCGTACTGCAAACACGTCTCCTTCCAGTACTTCATGGCCGCATTCACTGTACGCCATGACGACGGCGCCAGCCGGTTGTCAAAGACGCTCTCCACCGGTCGCACCCAACGGCACGGGAGGCCCTGGAAGACGGACGACCTCGCGAAGGGCTGATGCCCACCTCCGTCCCCGGGGCGGCAGCACAGCCACAGAGAAGGCACATGGAGAGGATCGTTGTCCCCATGTTCGCCCTGCGTACGCGTGGCGCCTGGGCGGGCCGCGGCCGGACGGCCCCTGCGACATGAGCCCGCCTGCGGCGCTGCTGCTGTCGCCCGGGGGGCGCTTGGGCGCGCGCTGCGCCGCCCTCCGCCGCCCATGCCCGTCCGGCCCGCGCGATTGCGGGGAGGGACGCGCCGAGAATGACGCCGCCGACCGCTATGATGGCGCCCAGGATGACCGCCACAAGGGGAAGGCCGCCATGGACTGCGAGAGGGGTGACGGCCTCAGTCTGCTCGACCACGCACGTGACAAAAAGGCAAAGCGTGATCCACGTCCGCCCTACTGCCCGCCCGCGGCGAACAGGGGGGGGCGCCCGCGTGGGCTGCTCGGGTACATCCTCAAAGGCACGGCGGCGTTCCGGCAGCGCGCGCTCCCTGCCCGCGCTGGCGCTCCTCTGCAGGAAAGCGCCTGGAGCCAGGAAGCCGCTCTCATCAACCTTCGCGAGGAACTCCGCCTCGCGGCCTCTCGACAGGTCGTCCGCCAGGTAGTTCGCCTCCGAGCTGATCCAGTAGAAGGAGTAGACAAACCCGTATCGCAACTGCAGGGCAAAGAACTCGTACATGAGGAAGCGAAGCCGCTCCGCTCGCGACCTTCCCCGCGAGCCCGAGCCCTCGATGGTCCGGTTGTCAACGGCAAAGGGGACGATGCATCCGCGCCAAGAGTGACCAAGCTCCCGCGTGGCGACTGTGACAGCGTCCCCCTCGAGGTAGTCGATGAGCGAGCGAGCGGCCGACCGCGTGTAACGCCACAGGCTGTACCTGCCCCACACGTCGACATA